TGTGTGTGTGTGTGTGTGTACTCATGCATGTTAAATGTGAAAATGGACAGTGGGAGATTTGTCTGCTGCTGGTGTCTCACCTTTTGACTGATTTGTTCCAAAAACCAGGCTGCGACCCACACTCCAAGTGGTGGTCTTCTGTTGCTGTGGTTATCATCAACTGGCTCCAAGGAGATGATGCTGCGGCAGAGAGACTGTATCCCACTGTTGAGCACCTGCCGCGCAGTTTGCAAAATGCAGAGTAAGTTGGACATAGACACACTAAAAATTCCACAACCGGTCAAAGAAGAGTATATGTTGCATAACCCTCATCTGCCAATACCACACTTCCACTGCTTTAACCTGTGTCCTCTGTCTCCCCCCCACTCTGTCAGGAGTCTTCTGCCCAAAGCGTGTCTGAACACATTCAGGGCAGTGCGAGCTCTGCTGTCCAAGCCAGAAAACTGCCAAATGAGTCTGAGCTACAGCGACAAGGCCAGCGCCCTGCTCCGAGACAGCCTGAACCTAGGACCACACTGCCACAGCTCCAGTTTAGACAAGGTACACGAACACACGCACACGCGCACAGAGGCACAACCACTTCCAGATTTGTACACATAAATCCAATACATCCTGTTGATGTTTATTATTCCTGTGAGTGGAATTTTGCAAAGGCGACAGCATCCACATTAAAAAAATTAAAAAAAATACACACTAGCACACAGTGACAGATGTGCCCACACATCTGTGTGTATAAAATTGTAAACACAGGAAATTGCCCACACACTGTCTCTTAAGTACACACACACTCTTTTCACAATACAAAGCCACAGACAGCAGCTCCCCGACAGCAACTCCCACTCTGTGATACCACGGTGTCCTTCCCTCTGGCGTTTAGCAGATGGTAATGCTGGTGGATAGGCAGCTCACAGTGTGTGTATGTCTACGGACAGAGCTGTAGTGCATTGTAGTTGCATTGCATGTGTGTCTCAGTAGAGTGCAATGTACCTGCTATGCAACACAGAGCTGGGCCACAAACAGCAGAACGCACACAGTGAAATTTCTTCCACCCTGACGTTGAGCTCTGAAATGGTTCAAATGAATATTTCTTATCACTCATATGTGTGGACTGACTAACCAGAAGGTGAGTGGTTCGATTCTTGCCTCCTCCAGTCTGCATTTGGAAGTGTCTTTGGTCACTTGACATTCGAGTTAACTACATATTTCTTACATTTCAGTCTCCAGCTCATCAGTCCTTTAACATTTGCAGTGGTGGTATTGATGTCCTTTATGTCTCGGTCATAATCTTGTTCATCTCCCTCTAGGTCATCCAGCTGCTTTTGTGTGATCTGCTGTTGGTGATGAGGACCAACGTATGGCGTCTGCAGCAACAAGGAGCCAGTCCCACGGGGTCAGGGTCGGTGGGCGCCAGTGGCCCAGCGGGGCTCCACCAGGCCTCTCCACCAGAGCTCCAGGGCTTTCAGCAAGATCTCAGTTCCCTACGCAAGCTGGCACACACCTTCAGACCTGCAATGCGACGAGTACGTATGATAGGATTAGTCACCACTTTATAGATTTACATTATATAAGTTAGGCTCATGCACTTTTGGTCTAACAACACAAATAATCTTTGATTGACACACACTAAGGGAATTATTAAACCAAGATCAACACACCAACGCAGCTCTTGTGATCTTGTGTTTGTATTGTCAGACTCTTTAAACTATAACTCATTAGTCTGTGCCTTTTGTAAATGCTCTTAAAACCGCTTGTAGAAGATCGACATAGCAGCATCAAGCGAATCCGTACATGCTGCACATACCTGACGTGACAATAGCATGAAGAACACAAAATGCAACGCTGAGATGCACTCAGTTTATAGACATTCAAAAACATCCTGTGCACATATTTGCAGGCAGTCCATGCTACAATCCTCTGTGGAAATTAGCTGTGAGGTGTTGAAACACACACACACACACACACCCCTGAGGCAAGTGTTTAGCAGCGTTGTTCACAAGGCTTCAAAGTCTCTCTGAGGTAGAGCTGAACATTCTGTGTGAGTCATCATCACTCGCTCCCATCCCTCCTCCTCCTCTTCCTCCGCCTCCGCTTCTCTCATCTCTCTCCCTCCCCTCCATCTCTCTCCAGTTGTTTCTCCATGAAGCTACAGCCAGGCTGATGGCGGGGGCCAGTCCCACCCGCACACATCAGCTCCTGGATCGCTCGCTGCGACGCAGAGCAACCCCTGGAGCCAAGACAGGTGTGTAGAGATGCTGATCTTTGTTTTTCATCCACTCTGCACAAGCAGTTCTGCAGCATTGTTTTCATATTAATTGCTATTCTTGAGATTGAATTTTTGTGAGGGTCCTAAAGTCAATGCATTGCCTACCTTTTTTTCTCCTCGTGACACGATCTGTACAATAATCACACATTTTCTAGTTAGTTTTCTGTTATTTCTCTAAGCTCAGATAGGTTGCAGAACATTTTTCAAAAAATGGAGCGATTATTAACAAACCTCAATCATGCAGTTTTTCTTGATTTCTTTTCAACATTATTAATAAAGGTTGTAGAGCGCTGAGAGACACTGAATGGTTGTAATCAGTGGCTCTAATCAGCTCCTCATCTTTTTTGGCCAATTATTCACTGCACTAAATCCCATCAGTAATTAAACAATAAGCTGTTGAAGTCTGATCTGGCTGTTGGTGGCTGATCACATCCAAAAGCTCATCCGGAATAGCGCGGCAGCAATGTTCATTGTTCCCTTTTTTGTGTGTGTGTGCAGAGGAGTGCGAGACGCGACCTGGCCAGCGGGAACAGGCGGAGGCCGTGATGCTGGCGTGCCGCTACCTCCCTCCCTCCTTTCTGTCGGCTCCAGGCCAAAGGGTAGGCATGCTGGCAGACGCAGCCCGCACCCTGGAGAAGCTGGGAGACAAGAGGACCCTGCACGACTGCCAGCAAATGATCATCAAGCTGGGTAGTGGCACCACGGTCACCAACAGCTAGAGAGAAGGGAGAGGGGAGGGGCATGAGAGACATGCATGGACACTGTATATAGAAACAAACATGCTCCCACAGACACACAACCACACAGTCCCCTGCATCTTTGGCGTGCAGCCACTGAACAGATTTATTAAACTATACCGATCCATATCAACCTAACAGGATATTCTTCATGGACTGCCTCTCCCACCCCCCAACCCCACATCAGAAGGCACTTACAGTGTTCACACTCTTGTTGCTACAGAGTATTATCAAAATATAAGAAGCATTGTCCTCTCTTACTTAGCTGAACCCCCCCCCACCAGAAATTGAATTGCAGTGCCACTGTTTTCCACAGAGAGGAGCTGTCACGTCCTCCTGGTTGATGGTGTGTCAGTGGTCTCTGTTTGTGTCTGTGTGAGTGAGTGAGTGAGTGAGTGAGTGAGTGAGTGACTGAGTAGCATGAAAGAGATATTTTGGTCTGCATTTGCTCGGTATAGTCCCACCCCCAGTATTTTCGACACAGATGCACCCTCTACAGGCAGGAGTGCTCAGTGGGTTGGAGTGGCGGGCTGCTCTGATTGGCTGCAGAGTGAGGTGTCTCTTGTGCGTAGGAGGAAAGGGACCAAACTCGGATTGGTCCAGCTGTGGGCTTGTACAGTGGGAAGCCGCTCGGCAGGTCGTCCAAATAGTACTGACGTTGATCATGTTTCACTGGGGCTGAGCTGAGGGGTCCCACTGTACAAGCTCTGTCTGTATCTGCACTAGCCCCGAGAGGCTGATTTCATTAAGTAATAATATGGCTTTATGAGGTTATTTTCATAGAGGTCCATTTTTTTGTTTTGCTGTGTACATATTTTAAAATGTATTTATAATCTGTGAGTACTCTAATTAAGCAGTATTTTTGAAGAAGATGAGTGAAAAATGCTTATAATCTTCCCTCAATTCTGTTAAACCGGGAAGCTTTTGATTAGATCCAAATAATGCAGTTACTGTGCTGTGTTGCCACGGGGACGAGTGTCAAAATTTAGACAATATCAAGGTGATATTTGCGTCACGTCGTCTGACTCAGTTGACCTTTTTGCACTGTTGCCCACGAAGGCAACCATGTTATCAAAAGACATTTGGCAGAATCAAATTCTGACATTGTCGAGCGACAACTCAAACTATAACAAGAACCTTTCGCAGCAAATTACATGTCATGCAGACAATTTCAAAATAAGAGACTGTTCTTTTCCAAAGAGGACCTGCAGTGCATCTTTTCCTGTGTTTTTTCTGTTTCATTTGTAGCTCCATCATAAAGAGCAACACTTGTTCTTCATTTATTATAATTCATGCTCCTAGAGAAACACTGTTTATTACTTTTTAGAGAACTGTAAAAAGTAAAAAAGAAAAACTTTGGCATGTGTTGTTTTATTTTGTCTGTGGACCAGTTTGTTTTTATAGTGTGTCACTAATGTGAAAGACTGGCAGACTTTGGTTTGAATGAAATGAAATGCAACCACGTCTTAAGGTTTTGTTCACTGACATCTTATCATCTCTCCCTTTGTCTTTGGGTTCAACCTTTTTTCTGATGTAAATATTAAAACATTTTGTAAAGAAGACTTGAGTGTTTCGTCCTGGTGTTGTCAGCTGCAGCGGGTTAATGGAGTTCGATAGCAGATGATGCAATAAAAAAGAAGATAAAGTCTCTCCATTAACCTCAAAATTATGCAAGGAGGTCATGGGCTTTCAATTTAGTGGGAGTTTGAAGTTTTTGGGGGGATAATGAAAATGAAATCACTCTGTCACAATATATCAAAAAGCAATTATTTAGTCAAACTAGATATCTGTCAGCAAAGATGAAAAACATTAGGTGTGATAGTCGCACATTATGTTATTTCTGGTATTCAGATTGTGAAAGTTTTTACTAGTTTGTGTCAGCAGGATTAGGCAAAAACTATTCAGCAAATGTCCTCGAAAAATTCCTCCCTTTGGGTGTTTGTTTGACATTTTCACCAATATCACAGAGTAATTCAAAAATCAGACTTTTTTATAGTTGACCGAATGCAACTCCATCCAGCTTGATTCATGATAAACATGCTAATCACGTTCATACATTTCACAGCACAAGCTTTCAAATATCATTGTTAAAGTCTCACGATAATTGGACATGACTTGTTCATTGCAGCAGCTTCAAAACGGCACATACAGTTTTGAGGCTGATTGCCAGCCTACCTCTGTACAACACCACAGTTTTAAGAAATACGATCCGAATCGTCTCGTGTGTGTCAGTGTCAGTGCACGTTCAGTAAAGACAAAAAGAGCAGGCGTCAGTCGTAGCAGCATTGAAAGGTGCTGGTATATTTAACATTGGCGTTACAAAAAACATTTCAAACAAAGTGATGCTGTGTCATCAATTCCAAACAAATAGACATGAAAATCAATAAAACGGCATGCTCCAACTGAGGTGACATTCCCAAAAAAGGTCGTTTTTTTTTCATCAATGGATTCTTTTAATAACATTTTATAAGCAATAACATATTCCATCTTATAGAAAATAAACATCTCTAGGAAATACTATACACAGTTATATTAGTACATCACATCTTACATTTAAACAGCATCAAATACTTATATACACCATTAAATAATGAGTTTCATAATAAAAGAGAAAGTTTGGTGTGGCATTTTTGCACTTTCTTTTATGCTCTAATACTTAAATATGTCTCCTTTTGATATGACCAGTACTTAAACTGACACCCTGTGCTGGGCGTTGTTACATAGCATGGCAGAGTGAGAAGCTACATTTGAAATACACAAACGTGTGTGTGTGTCATGAAATCTGAATTGAATGTGTATCTTTCTGCAGAGCTGTGAAATAATTATACATCATGGAAATGTTTAACAGTAATACTTATGAGCTGTACATAGATATGAAGTGAGTTGGCCTGACCCCCCAGTTGGACCCTTGGAGCCCTGATCTGCAACCTGTCAAGTGATGCCTGTACATATTGAATGTGCACACAGTTGAATGGACTCTTTACCAGGGTTTTCTTTTTTTTTTCATATTTCTTATTTTTATTCTCTGAAGAACACAAAGCCTGACATTTACCAAGGGTGACGCGATGATGTTGTATAGTCATAATGCACATCAAAATACATCTCCGAAGATAAGAGCGTTATATTAAAATACTGCGTCCATTTTATTCTTACCTCTTCATTGTCAGAATATTTAGAACCTGTAGAGCACGTCGTCATGTACAGCTTCCTTTTTTGTTTCGTTTTGTCTCTTGTTTTAAACACAAACGTTGAGATGGAACACCCGGTGGTCGGATGCTGCTTTTTTTTCAATGTACTCCAACATGAGACGCACTTCTTCACTCACACAGACACATGTGCACAAACACACGGATGATGAGACCGTAGAATGACAGATTCATGATTATCACACACACACACACACACACACACACACACGCCTCTTGGCCCACAGACAAGGTGGCCAGAGGGATGCTCCTGTCCAATCAGTGTCGGCCAGGTGTCTGAATATGATAGCAGGCCATCGAAAGGCAGAACACGCACACACACATCTCTCACTCTGCATTTCAAACAGCCCCCCCGTGCACTGGGCCTCACAGGCACACAGTCTCTAAAGCGCAGGCTGTCCTCCTGTTAAACAGTGCCGCTGCCTTCTGCCTTCCAGTCAGGGGCTCAGTTGAGAACACACATTTCCAGGCCAGGTTCAGGGAGCAGCCTCTCTCTGTGGAGCTGTTTGCCCCCGAGCTTCACCTCAGTGACACCTTTTTTTGCTTTCGCCCGGCCCCGACGAGCCTGTCCATCATCAGTCATCGTTTTCCTTTGCCTGGCTGGATAGGTGGTGCTTGCTTGTTGGTGGTGGAGATGGTACACTGGAATATCTTACAGGTCCTGTTGAGGAAGGGTAAAGAGACCATGACGTAAATGCAGATCACAAACACATATGGAGCACTCCAAAACAAAAGCATGACTTCATGAGTTTCAATTAGATGTTACATTTCAGTTCAATGTAAAGCTTTTCATCAAATCACTCAGTTCCCTCCGATTCCTCAGCCTTGATGTTCTTCTCGATGTACTGTACGTCTATCTACACATATTCATCCAGGTAAACTGCAGATGGAGGCGCCTCATGCAGATGTGCAGCTCGTATGTCTGTGCGTCTTTTGTGCGAGACCGAACATGAGCGTTTCTCAGATCTGCAGAGAGCAGACATGAAAGCGAGCTGGCTGCAGCGTGCATGAGTGGGGAGATGGATGCATCTGGCCAGTGAACCAGCTCCACTTTGAGAGACACAGCAGGAACGCCCACTAATTGTGCCGGTGTGATGCTGCTGGTGGTGGTGGAATGCCTTCTTTCCCCTTATCCTCCTCTGCAGCCCCCGAGTATCTCTCGTTGCCTCTCTGTCTTTCTCTGAACTGCCAGTTACCCATCCTCATGCCCTGGACTCAGACCAGCAGCTTTGCTCTCTGTCTTTTATCTCTCTCTCTTTCTCTTTCAGTCTGTCTATTTCTCTCTCTCTCTCCCTCTTTGAAGTGTCCCCCCTCTTTCTGTTTCCCCCCCTGGAGTAACCCATCCTCTTTTTACGCCTTCAGTCTCACTTGTTCTCTCTCTACTTCTCCATCACTGAGTGTGTCTCCATTTTTGCTGCCTGTCTCTCTCATTGGCCTTCTTTTCTCTTTCTATCTGTCTCTTTTATTCTGTCGCTCTCTGATGTAACTGCCCCCATTCGTCTTTTGTTCCCACCCAGCTGCTGCACCACTGTTTTTCTTCTCCCTGCTTCTGCCTCTCTCTCCCACTCACATGTGTGTATGAGCGTAGAGGTAAACTGTTAATGAACCTGTGTGGACAAGCACAGTTTGTATAGGTGTGTGTGTGTGAAGCCATAGCTGAAGGCAGCATGTGTTTGCAATGTCATGGATATGTGCGCTCCAGCCCTGAAACCAAGTGAACGTAGGCAGAGGGAGAATTTTTGAGGGGCACCCATGGGTGGGGTGGTTGCGTGCTTGTGTGTATGTGTGCGTCTGCTCTTCCCTTTGATTAGGCTGCTCAGCGTAAATTGGCACAGCACAGACCCACACACACATACACACAGGCACAGACCTTCAGATCCCTCGGCTGATGACAGCTCTGTCTCAGCCCGCTAACAACAATCTCTTTTTCCGTCTTGCTCTCCTTTTCTCACACTCTATTTCTGCTACTTAGACGTGGGAGTTGAGGTGAAGAGAGACAGGAAGAGGAGGTGAGAGAGAGAGGGGAAAGGATGAAGGGAGGACGACTGAAAATGAAAATGGAAAAAGGAAGCACACGGGAGATGAGAGGTGATGCGAGTGAGAGACAGAGGGAGCTGGAACAGCAGGGGAGCGCAGGAGCAAAAATAAGGGGAACAGGGAGAGAGGGAGAAAATAACAAGAGGCAGGAGCAGAGAGTGGGAGAGAGAGGGAGAGAGGGTGGAAGGAGCATGTGGGGAGAATATCAGGCAGCAGTGGTGGGTGGGGTGTTTTGATCAAGAGCCAGCTTTTCATCCCTGTCAGTCTGCACAGAGGAGAACAGGAGAGAGGGAGGGGGAGAGATGCGGAGAAGGGAGGGAGGGAGGGAGGGAGGGAGGCTGCTGCCTCAATGCACCGCTGCTCCCTGCTGAATGTCAGCCTCTCTCCCCCTCCTCCCACCCCTTCACCCACCCTCCTCTGCATTTGACCTTCCCCTCCTTGCTGCAGTGAAAATACGCCACCAGCAGATGGCGTCTGTCTTGCAGGTGAGCTGACAGCAGAGGTGGCCCTCTGTGATTGCAGTGGTTTACAGTCATGACGGTGGTTGTTGAGTGACAATAACACACAAAGGGCACAAAACTATGTGTTCACACCGATAGTGGTTTAACTTGCCAAGGTCATTGAGTACATATTGATTCAGTGACACATGATGTCCGAGATGAGATCCAGGCCTGCGTGTGTTATACTGACACAAGAGTGAACATCGCCCTGAACCGTCAGGTTTTTCTTATGTGATTCCTTCTGTGTTTTACTGGAGCTGATGATTGTGTTTTCTGTTCTGTATCATCTATCCAGCCATTATGCTGCTGCCTGTGACAGAAACGTGTGAATTCAATTGTTTTCTCTTCAGTGCAGGAAGAGTGACGAAGAGTGGAAAGGACAAAAAGAGGATATCTTGTCTGGGGTGTAGCGAGGGATGGGAAACATATGAATCGCACAGTGGTTTTTAAAGCAGGGAGGTTATGAGTGTTGTTATCGGAACAATTTCTGGATATGACATGTGTGAAACACTAATATCTAATAGGTCATTCTTACAGATGCAGACAGACCACCTCTGTTTCATTCAACCCTCCTTTGTTTTTGTGTTTGATTTTTACATGTAATATGTGACCTCAGCCACTAGGGGTCTCTCAAGGGACCTAGTTTGATGACGTGAGGCAGCGTGGGATCATGGGAGTTATTGTCTTCAACACTATTGCTGATGGAAATCCACCTGATGTGACTCAGGTGCAAATGTATCTTCAAGGATGAGATAAAGTTTTATTGGTATAACACAGCAAACGGCAATGAGCAATCGTTATTGATTATGAGTGACTGACACAAACAGTGGAAGTTTATTTTATTTTGTCTAAGAAGTTATATCAGTGAAGTGAAAATCTGCCAAGCAACAGACAAAGCTGATGTGACACAATGTGACTACAATGACATGTCCCGCCTACTTGAATGAAACTGAGGTTTTCTCAGGGTTTGATGACAGACAGATAGATAGATAGATAGATAGATAGATAGATAGATAGATAGATAGATAGATAGATAGATAGATAGATAGATAGATTGATTGATTTAGTTCAGCAGCAGGCCACTTAGTGGCATATATATATAAAAAATTGATAAAATAAGAACACATAGAGAATCTAATTTAAAAGATGTTTAAAAATAGTAAAATATGGCGGAGACTAGAAAAAGATGTATTTGAACATTGTTGGATGTAAAAAAAGATGTTAAAACCTTAATTATGGATCACACGAAGGACCAATATGAATTTGTGTACAAGTTATGAGTTTTTATTTTCTTACCTCGTGTTTTGGACATTTGATGGAGAAGTCGTCCTCGTGGAATGTGCAGCCTATTGGTGAGGAGAGAGAACGCAAAAGAAAACAGAGAATATGCTTAAACGCTGCAGATAGACAATAATAAAAACACATAGAATGAGGAGGATACGCACATACACAACACCCCCCCACAAAACAACAAACAAATGACACAGGGGTTGAATTACAATGAAACCTGTGCAAGAAAGGGCGAGAGAGAGAGAGAGAGAGGAAGAGCCAGAGCGAGCAACAGAGGAAAGAGAGAGACTGAGTGGATGAGTTGCGACGCAGGCAGGCAGTCAGATATGGCTGGTGCACTCAGCAGGATTAAAAGGGGCCTCGCTCTGCTCCCTGTGCTGGCTCGGCAGACGTGGCAGGCCTTCTAATCCTCACACTGTACCTCCTTGGCATGAGGTAACGTAAGGGGAAACCATACAACACATGTGCTGACACACAGACACACACTTACATAGGCAAGAATAACCAGGGGCAAACACACACACACACACACACACACACATGCACAAAACATCGAGGGATCGTACATAGGCCATATTGTTGCAAGACATATGTGGGGATGCATTCAGGCAGGAAGGCTCACACATACATGCACATTCGGTCCCTAGACGGCAAGATGGATGAATGGAGCCACAGGGGTTGTGGTCAATAATGCACACATACGCTCCCTCCTCCCTCTATCTCCTCCCTGTCTCCCCCTTGCACACTCCAGGGTCCCACTTTCCTCTTATCATCCCCTTTATTCAAAACTCCCTCCCTCTTCCCCAGCACTCTCAGACATCTCCTCTCGCACTCAATAATGTTACTTCTTGGTGTATTTTCCTTCTCTCATTTTACCCACATCCACTTTCCCTCCCCTATCTTTCTTCCCTGTCCTTTCATTTTTCTCTCTTTTTTTCTGCCTACCGAATTTGTTCCCCTCCTTATTGCCCTCTCAACCCACGTTCAATTTCCCGTTCCCAATTGCCCTCCTCATTTCTCCTCCCCCTCTCATGGCCTTTCTTCACTTTTCATCCCTTGTTGCTCTCCTCCTCTCTTGCTGTGGTCTCTTACCTATCTCTTTTGCGCAGACATAATGGTATTTATGAGAGCAGCCTCTCCAACAGCAGCTGAGGGACGCCCCCACAATCTGGCACTTGTAGCAGCTCTGGTATTACAGACAGACGGACATATGGACCAGGACCCATATAGACACAGACAAAGTGACCGATAGGAGCACATACGGAAAGAAAGAAGAAGGGGAAAGTTACAGTTATTCTCAAGTTAACATTCATTTCTCAAAACAGTCTTACAAAATGTAAATTTTCACTTCACACATCTGCACATATCTTGGAATTGCACAAGACTTGTAGTCATTGTTAACTTACCGTTTGGGCTGAGTTGTTGGCAGCCTCCTTCAGTCCGTATAGCCTCCCAGCTACCATAATTACCCCCTTTGTCCAGATGGTACAGTTTTCATGCGCCCAGTGCTCCTTAGCCTCTGCCTCTGCTTGTAGCCTCTGGAACATGCTGTCACTGCCCTCTTGGTCACTGGAGACCCCTGCGCTGATGGCCTGGAGCTGCCTCATCCTCCTGAACCTCTCCCGGAGAGTTAATCTTCGTGAACCACCCTCCCGACTCGTCCTTTCTGTTCTCTCTGCCCGTCGGTAGTGCCAATGATGGGTCCTGTTACTACTGCCCTCTTGCAAAGATGCTTCTGTGTTGCCCTCTTTTTCTGTGATGTCCTCGTCCTCATTCTTTGAGGAGTGGCCTGCTTTTTCACTGGTGCTACAGTTGTGTTCGCTGCTCTTCTCAGACTCACCCCTGAGGGATTCTGTGTGCGTGATCGTCAAAAGTTTCCTTGGAACACCATCTTCTGTGTAGTAAGGTCCACACAAATCACCCAGGTCTCTGTAATTTGCTGGCTGTCCACACAGGCTGCATGTCAGACACCTCCCAATTAGATTTCTATTTACCAAGGGTCCCTGTAGCATGGCAGCAGTGTGTGGTACTACTTTTGCAACTGTGAAAGGATTCTTCATTCTGAGTATGCCCTTTTTTCTTCGTCTCTGAAATATGACTGCATCCTCAGGCTTGTTGACTATGGCACACCAAGAGGAAAAGTCTCTAGAGTTGTTAATCCGTACGTAAGGACAGAAAGACAGTTTTGAATTTTGATGTACTTGCCTACGCCTGATTCTTTTCACAGTAATAGTCTCTGTCTGCTTCTCCGATATTGTCACCATAGGACCCACAATATATGTCTTCTCTTTTTCCTCATTCTCTCTTTCCCTTCCTTCTTGTTCCTCTTTTTCTCTCTCTTCTTTTTCCACCTGTTCACAACCTGCAGCCTTGACAACTGCCTCGATAACCTCAATAGCGTCTTTCATCCCAGGTTTTGGCCCAGGCTTTTTGTGGACCTTCACTGGAATGCCAGGAATCTGCTCCGATAGGGTTTTGCCTCGTTTCCTCTTGGTTGGGTTTGACGATGGTTTCCTCCCTCTTCTAGGCTTCTGGATGAGTTCTGTGCTTTTAAGCTTAGGGGGCTCTGTGATCTCATCTAAGGTGATTGGCACAGGCAGTGTGGAATCTACAGACGATGCCTTCTCTTCTATCCTCTCCAGTTGTTCTTCTGTTATTTCAATATTTGTCTCCTCAACTGGCTCCATTTCTTCCAGAGGAGTTTGGACTTTTCTCTTCTTTCTCCTCTGTTTTAGGTGCATCTCATGATTGTTTTTGATGGCCCTCTGCTTTGCTAACCTTGGTGTTGTAACTATTAGGCTTCCTGCTTCCAAGGCTACTACAGACACATCTGTACTCTCCACCATAGCCCATCTCTTCCTTTTAGTTCTGGATGACTTAGTGGAAGTAGTCGAATCACCTTCTGAAGTCTGCCATTCTCCTGTAGCTTTGACTTCCACTGGGACATCCATTGAGCTCCAAACCTTGTCAGCTCCATCATCCAGTTGTATCTCTGATTTAATGTTTTCCTGACTTGCAATCTGCCTATTTACAACCTCCTCTTTCAGCCCTTGTCTCACCTTATTTGGTGTTGATGCTACTTGACTTGCCTCATGGGTCACCTCCTCTTTTCTCTCTTCGAGTTGTTTTACCTCTCCTTGTCTAGACTCTATGCTTTTCAATTGTCCCTCTGTCGTCTCAGAGCCTTTTACAAGCACAGACGTTTCACCTTCCTTTAAGACATGTTGAGACAAAGCCTTGGCTGTAACATCATCAGTTAGGTGACTGTCTATCTGGGGAATTGGAAGGTGTTTCTTTGAGCTTGGGGATGTAATTTTTTGCACCATGGCTTCATATTTTTGTCCCCTACCTTTTCTTGGCGGAAGAACTTTTGTCTTAGTGGGACACTGAGGCGGCACCACAGGCACATCACTAGTAATTTCAGTTTCACTGATGTGAGAAGTGTCTTTGGTTGAGGGAGTGACCACAAAAGCTTTCTTGGGTGGCCCTCGCTTTCGTTTAGGGCCCTGGGCAGCCTTATCTTTAGGTGTAGAGACATTTCGGTCCAGCTGGGGGGGTTGAAATGGTAAAGGTTTTGGTTTGGGCTTCGGACCCCTCTTCTTCTTTACTGTTGGTGTAGAAAGTTCTGGGCTAGGTTTACGTTTTAGTGGAAGTGATGTCTTTTCTTCAGATTGTTCAGTTGGGACTGGTGAGGCAAGTGGTGCAGGTGGGTCCGCTTGAACATCTGCATTTTTAACTACATCGGTAATAGGAGTACGAGTTTGTTCCACAGTTACAGGCTCTTCTACATTTGGAGAAACATCACTGGTTTTAATATCTAGTACTGTGTGGGACAGGATATCTTCAGCTATTATTCTTTCCTTTTCTTTTGACAGTTTTTCTTGTGAGGGTTTTCTGGATCTCAACACCATATTCTTACCTTCCTTTTCTGGTGCCTTTACCTCACAGTTTGCTTGTTTCTCCTCTTGGTTTACTGGTCTTACATCCTGGTTTATTTGTAATATTGTAGCTTTAAGGCTCTTTCTGCCCCTGCTTTGAAGTCCTGTCAATGGTTGAGTTGTTTCTTCTTGTATTACCAGCTTTGCTTTTGAAACTGAGCCTTTGGGACGACCCACCTGGGCCTTGATGATTGCAGTGTCGGTGATGGGCAAATCATCTGCAGGCTTAGGTCCAGGCTTAGGTCCTGGTTTTGGACCTGGCTTTAGAGCTGGTTTTGGTCCAGGTTTTGAACCTGGTTTGGGTCCTGGTTTTCGTTTTACAAGAGTCTCAGCTTTCAGGGGCAGCTCCTGTTCATTTGGCACAGGTTTTGGTCCTGCTTTAGGACCTGGTTTAGGTCCAGGTTTTGGTCCAGGCTTTAGCCCAGGTTTAGACCCTGGTTTTGGACCTGGCTTTGCTCCTGGTTTGGGCCCTGGCTTTGGTCCGGGCCTTGGCCCTGGTTTTGGCCCAGGCTTCGAACCTGGTTTCGGGCCTGGTTTTCTCTTCACATGAGGCTCGACTTTGGGAGGCAAGTCTGGTGCATTGAATGAACGAGTGCACATTCTTGAACGAAAACCATCAGTCAGTATTTTTGGAGTCTGGCTAATAATAGAGTCCTGATGAGCTAGGTCCATTTGATCTGAGAATAGCACTGTTTTGCCTGGAGGCATGCAGGATTTCTGCAGAGGTGAGGGTGCTCCTTCCTCCTCCTTCTCACTCTCCCTCTCCAAACTGAGCTGTCGCCTGATTCCCACACCTGAATGCATGATTCTTCTTCTGCCCCTGGCATGCTTACGTCCAAACGCCCTCGGCTGAGCAGATGGGGCCATGGGCTCTGGCTTGGCCGAGGGTGTCACAGCACTGGCACAGCTGATGCCTGGTTCCATGTCCTCATCACCTTTTTTGGGGGAGGGTGGAGTGTCTGCCCAAGAGGGGGCTGAGGGAAGTATTGACTTCCCTGGAAGCTGAGGAGAGTCTGGCTCCAGCACTTTAGCATCACTGTGATCAATATGATCTCTGGTCTGAGCTGGAGGTGTTGCCTTTTCATTAAGCGCTGAGAAGACAGGCATCGCAGACTGGGGCTGAGGAGCAGTGTCTCCAATGGCTGACTCCCTTGCAGAAGCGTCTGCTGCTGCTGTTACTGCTGCTGCATTTGGATGGGCTGGTGTCCCTGTAAACTCATTGTCAGTGTGGAGCTCAGCACTCTCCATTCTGCTGCAGAGATCTCCAGGAGGCTTCTCTGGCCCATCTCTTATATCTCTATTATTTATGTGCTCCTCAGTCGTTGACTTGCTCACTTCCTCCTCTTCCCCCAGTTCCTCCCTAACCTCTGCAGACAGAGGAGGGGAAAGAGCATGTTGCTCTTGTTTCTGTATTTCTTCTTCTTCATCTTCTTCATCAGCATCCATATCCTCCTCCCCCTCCTCCTCCTCATCCTCCTCATCTCTGCTCTCTTTCTTGTCTGAATTGCTCTCATCCAAAGCCTCGACTTGGGGGGTTGGAGAGGTGTTCTCTGAGCTATCCTCTTTCTCTGTGGAATATTGATCCTGTTCAAGGTCACCCCCAGAAATGAAAGGCAGTGTTTTCACTGAGCTCTCAGAAGCAGTTGGAGACTCAGATTTGAATGCCTCTGATTTCATCTCTTGGCCAAAGTGTTCTTTGTGGCTTGAATCAGAAAGAGCTGCTGGGGACTGTTCAACTAAGTCTCTTGCATCAGGGTCATATTTGCCCTGGACCCCTTGGTACACTGTCTCCTCATAGCAGTAGCTTTTTTCTGTCACCTCTTTGTTTACTTTGCTATAGAGAGTGGGGCATTTCTCTTTATCTCTCCATTGCTCCAATTTCTCTGTTGATATAGTTGTGTCTAAATCTATGTCACAGTCAGGATTTTTTTCTGTTGTCACCTCTTCTTTGTCACCTGACTTCTCTGTCCAGGCGGATTCTTCAAAGTTCTCTTTCACAGGCTCATTGTTATGCTGTATATCTAAAGGAGAGTCCATTTCTTGTTTCAATGGACTTGGGATTGTAATACTTGTAGGAGACCTCTCATCACCAATGCTCTTCGCTGGCGTACTCATGCCATCTCCTCCCTGACCTGATTGACACCTAGTAGCATCAGGTGTAAGGTTGTGCAGACCTGAGTCCCCAGACCTGGTGGACATATCATCCGGAGATGTCATGGAGCATGACGAGGCTGTGTCCAAGCTGAGGTGTGTGTTGTTAGGGGCCTGTGCAGGGCTTCGGCCCTGGCCACAGTAGTAGTAGCCCCTCTCCAGTTGTTCGTCGCTACTGCTAGAGTAGCCTCCCTCATGTAGTTCCATGGGCATTTGTTGGTGCTGTGGGGTAGAGTAAGGGTCCTGCATGGTGCCTCCACCAACAACACCACCACCATCTGGATATGGAGGACTTTTGTACTCCTCACCCTTTTTGGAGGATGCTCCACTACCAGCACTGCTGTTGCTCCCTCCACTGCTGCGCTTACTGCCTTTTTTGTTGGCCACCAGTGCCTCTGAAAGCAGCAGCTGCTGGACATTATTAGAGATGTTTTCTACCTGAGAGGTGAGGGCATTCAGGCTCCACAAGCTGGGGTTTGAGAGCAGTTTCTCTGAGAAGCGCTCTTTCATGGTGGGAACCTGCGGTGTGGAAGTATAGTTGTGCGGGGCCGCATGGGGCACGTTGGGTGAAGGGTGTGAGCGAGGGGGCATCAACATGGTGTTGGCACTGGCTTGCTCCTGCATGCCAGCTGAAGAGGATGAGGCGGAAGAGGCTGCCCCAGGAGTCATGGGAGGTTGGCCATACTGAAATGAATCGGGATTGGTCATTAGTGGTGAAGGGGTGGAACTGTATGAGGGGGAACGTCCTACAGAGCGGGCAGGGGAGTGGCTGGAAGAGGGGCTACATGTCTGATAATACTGTTCTGGTGATCTGACTGACAGCTCTGAGAGACAGTAGTTTTGTTGGGGTTGGCTGTAGTGTTGGTACTTGGGGTGGGGCTCCTGTGGGTTTGCCATTGCCTGTAAAGGAGCCTGCTGCTCATAACCTCTGGAGGGGGCCTGCTGGTAGCCATAACTGTTCTGGGCTGACCTGTAACCCCCCTGCTTCAGATTACTGTGGCTGCTCATTTGTCTGCCATACTGGGAATTTGGGGGCATGTTGTAACCCTTGTAACAGTGGGGCATAGGGCTACACTTTTCCATGTATGGTGAAGGAGAAGGTGAGTGCTGGGGGTAGTGCAGGTGACTCTGGGAATACATGAGAGAGGAGGGGGCAGGGTTTGCAGGGTGGGACTGGTGGTGGGGGCTGGCATAAGCAGGGGCGGACGGCTGGTGACACTGGGTCTGGGGATGGCCCAAGATGTTCTGGTCCAGGTACTGGGAGGGGCCAGGTGTGGCGGTACCACTAGCCTCCATACGCCCCACTATCTCTTGTTCATACTGAGTTAATTGAGCTGGGTCATCCCACTTCTGCTGGAGGTGGCCCTCGCTCATATACTGAGCTGAGTAATTCCCAGAACCCATATGGTTACCATAGCCCCCAGGGCCCTGCAGGTGCTGACTGGGATTTGGTGGGGGCACTTTGCTTCCTCTGTAGGATTTCTTTGCCTGTGTGGATGCTGCGCCCCCATTTCCACTCCCATTCCCTCCACTATTGCCTGGGTAACCAGCATAGGCTTGCTGGCTGTAACAGTCCTTGGGTCCTCCTCCAGTTCCTGGTCCTCCACCTGGAGGCATGCTTGTTGGGTTTGCCAGTGAATGAGGCTCATAGCCTGTTCTGGTGAGCCCTGGGCCTGGACCTGGATGTGGACCGGGGCCTGGGTGTGGGTGCTGGGGATGGGGATGATGCGGATGTTGCCGGTAGGTCTCCAGGCGGGATAATTCATGGGGCTCCTGCTGGTAGCAGGGTTGGTTGCTGTGGTAACCACCGCTGCGCTCACGGAAGGACTGCATCTCTCCGTCTGTAGCCAGAGCAGGGAGGGGGAAGGTGAGATGGGAAAGGGGGAAGGGGGTTAGGGGTTCTGGAGGAAGGGATGGAGGGAGGGGGAAGTGAGAGAAAAGAGGGAGAAATTGTGAGGGTTAGAACTGGTTTATCCATTCTGCTTGTTCTCCTTTCATATTCAATGTCTAATTCAACTTTAACATTCGCCTGGAGTCAAAGCCAAACTCTCCCCCTCACTGAGAATCCTTGAAAATGAGATTTACACACTCACTCACACTAACTTTTGTGTAGATCCCATGTATTATATAAACAGAAATATTTTCAAAAGCAGTTTAATATCACAGCAGTGGTTGTATTTTATAGTGCTCACAACCCTGATTGCTGATTTCTCTCGTCCCGATTTGAAAAAAACTGTACATTTGTGTGTGTATGTGTATATTCTTTTGTATGTATATAAAATGGCCCCACAATAGTGCAGGCTTCCGGATCTTTCAGTTACTCAAGATGGAGGGGCAGGCGTGTGATGCAGTCTCTGGTGCTCTGATTGACAGGTCAGAGAGAGAGAGCAAGAGAGAGAGCAAAGAGAGAGGGGTGTGTGGCAAATTAATTATTTGGAATAAATAAATAAATCATAAAACGTGTTCACCCCTGTGTGTGTGTGTGTGTGTGTNTGAGGACGTGTGCTCGTTGGAGGACGTGTGCTCGATGGAGGACGCGTGCTCGGTGAGGACGCGTGCTCGGTGAGGACGTTTTGTTCGAATAAACTGTTGAGATCACAAAACTGGAAACCTATAAATGAGTTGATTCTTTCACGCTGTGTTGAAACCTTCTAGTTGTGATAAACCAGATGAGTTTCATCAGTGACACATGACGTCAGATTAGCTGAATTCTCTACACGGTCCCTACTCCTCTGGACCGTCCTGATCGGTCGTCCCTTTAACATCTGGATCCCACTCCAGCAGGACATCTCGTTTCTTCACGCCGTGGCACAGCTGCTGTCGTTCCCGGGAGCCCATCGTCCATCGCTGCACGGCCAGCCGGGTCAGCGCCGGCAGTCGAGGCAGGGCGCGGAGCAGCGCCGGCAGCCAGGCCGAGCAGGAGGCAGAGGTCGAAGGTCGCAGGCTAAGGTCGACATCCTCCAGCGAGCCCAGGCCTCCGGCTTCAAACAGAGCGGACCAGCCGTCGTCACCCACCGAACCGTTGTAGGAGAGATCCAGCACCCGCAGAGACGACATGCAACCACGTCTGCAGACCACGGCTGCACGAGACGGACGAGGTTCAAAAGTAAGTCAGAACTCTTACTCTCATTCTGCAGCTTTTCATATCGTGTTTTCATTCTGTTCCCTCCTCCACCCACAGTTCACACTCATCGAAAAGCTGAGTGAAGAGTTTATGAACACCGGACACGTTTGTTCTGTTACCTAAGTGACGCAGGTCGTCAGTGGAGAGTTCACAGCTGCTGAGACGAAGCTCCAGGACGGCCGACGGCTGCAGAGCGTCAAGAAGCAGAGCCACGCGACCTCCGACCACTTTACACCAGGAAACATCCACACTGCGGAGGTACGGCACGGCCAGAGCTGACACACACACACACACACACACACAATTACAACATTAGTATTTTGTGAACAGCAATAAGAGCTGCCCGACTGAAGTAGCTGCAGTACTAGCAGTAGTATTAGTAGTAATGTCAGTACAAGTATCAGAAGTATATTTGTACCCAGAGCAGCGAATGACTCCTCACTGAGGCTGCAGCTGTTGAGCGGCAGATGCTTCATCTGTGTCAGAGGGAGGGCGGAGACCAGCGCGTGAAGGGAAGCCCCTGCCTCCTTATTGGACGACACGTTGAGCTCTGTGAGCGCCGTCAGAGAGGGGAGCGCCTGGACTGAAAACAAGGAGTCACATGACGGCTGCTGCATGTGCGCGCACACACACACACACACACACACACACACACACACAGACGTACCGAGGGCCTCCAGGTCTGTGTGTGTGAGACAGCACAGGTGAAGGTCGAGGCTCTCCAGGTGGTCGAGGTGAGCCAGGTGGAAGGTGAGGCGGCTCAGTCCTCCAGACAGACCCTTGTTACAGGACAGGTCCAGCTCCCGCACTGAGGGGAGGAGGCGCAGCGAACCACCTGCAGGGCAGAGGGGGGGGGGGGGGGGGGGGGCTTTCATCATCTCGAATACACGCTGACAGTTCACAGAAGACTAGATCTCCTACCCAGAGCGTCGAGGTGGTCCGTCGACAGACCGCAGGCCTGCAGTCGAAGCGTGGTGAGGGAGGTGGCGTGAGAGAGGGAGGCGGCCAGGTCACTGAAGCCGCCGCCACCGACGACTTCCTGCGAGAGCTGAGGGTTACAGGAGACGTCCAGCACCGAGAGTCTGGGGAGAGCAGACAAAACTCCCCCTGAGGACAAACAACCACATCACACAGAGAGTGTCAACGCTGTGCCTCTGTGGCATTGTGGGAAATATTTGAAACATCGGTCAGCCTCTTATCTGCTTATCTTTCCTCTCTTATCAATGTGTTGATGGACGTTGATTGTATTACCCAGCGCAGTAGCATCAGCTGCAGAGAGCTGACAGGAAACCAGGTGAATCTCCCTCAGTGGTGGGTGCATTTTACCCAGGAGGCCTTGCAGCCCTCCGCCTCCAACACCGCCGTTCCAGGACATATCGAGGATCTCCAAATGTGGGACGCAGCAGAGAGCCTCCCCTGTAAAAGCACAGCGTCGTGTTCACCCTGTGTTAAAGCTGCACCGGCTGTTTCACATGAGACGTAAAGAACCTGAGAGAAAACTCGAAACACGTCGAAAATGAAAAATGTCCGAAGCTTTCATGAATCTTGGTCGTGCATCTTTTTAAATGTAGTAAATTATAATCCTGGAGGTTCCCACCCAGTGCAGTGACATCACCAGCGTTCAGCCTGCAGCTGCGGAGCCTCAGCGTCCTGATCCCGCCCACATGATGGAGGTGAGAGGTCAACGCGCTCAGACATCCACCAATCAGCTCGTTCCAGGAAACGTCCATCTCCTCCAGCTGAGGCAGGAAGTGGAGCAACGTGGCTGAGGACGACGTTAAAAAAACCATCACGGCCATGACAGTGGAGCAGCACAATTTATTTGTGTGTGTGTGTGTGTGTGTGTGTGTGTGTGTGTGTGTGTGTGTGTGTGTGTGTGTGTGTGTGTGTACCGAGCTCCAGCAGGTCCGTAGCGGTCAGATCACAGTGAGCCAGACTGAGGCTCCTGCTGTCGGCTGTCTTCCCGAGCCTCTGCAGGAAAACACACACTCGACCCCAGCCGGCGTCTCGCTCGTCCTCTGCACCTGTGACACCTGAGGAGCCGAACACACGTGTGTGACATGATGAGGACCCATGTGCGTTATTAGTCGTCCGTGCTCGTGTTCTTTCGTCAAACGATCTGAGTTTGACAAATCACCACAGTATAGACAAAAATCTTGGGAGCAACATTTCCCTTGACGCTGTAGCTGGATGTGTTTCTCCTCTCTCCCCCCTCGGTTTTCTCACAACTCGAGGAACTAGTTCGTGTTCGTGTGAAACAAATGTTTGGATGCGATGGAAGATATTTTCAAGCCAAACTGTGCTGTGACAGTGTCACCACGAGAAAGAGAAGGTCTCATGAGTAGAAACCCACCTGAGCTCTGTGCTCTCTCCTCCCTCCCCTCCGAGTCTCCATCCTCAGGAAACCCCGCTCGCTCAGACGTCCGGGACAGGAAGCGTCCCAGCGGCTTCCTGTCTGAGGCCGTGCGTTTCCGGCGAATCTGACTCATGATGATGTCGAGAGGGGAACGTCTCTGACTGCCAGCGTCACGCCCACGATGACCATCTGACCAATGGGACAGAGAACAAGTCAGGAAGTTTTACCATTAGCTGAACTCACCATGAACCCAAAGCCTCATCTTAACGTGTCTGTGACTCCACTGTTAACATGTTGAGTCATTCAGGTTCTTATAACTAAAGGATCCTTTAGTTCCAAAGTTCTAAAGTTATTTTGACCATGAAGCGATCGTGAAAATGAAACGTGTCCATCGAGGGACCTCTCCATGGGAATCACTGGTTGTTTGTGTCCTCTCCTTCATTGGTGGAGACAAAGATTCTCATTAAACCAGTGAAACAGGAAGATGACGATTATTATTACACAGACACAAAAAAACTTATATTAGAAATAAGTCATCTGTGTGTTTTCTGTCAGGAACAATCTGCAGTTTAAAGTGTGTGGACATTAGACTGTGATGCACCGAGTGTCCACTGGTTCTGTTGTGTGAGTTTGAAGCGACAGAACCAGAAGATTCAGCTCACCTGCAGAATCCATGAGGCTCAGATCAAAGACGATTTCTGTTTCCTGTCGTGAGCTCAACTTTGATCTGCAGTCCGCAGGTGAACATCCAATAAATCTACAGCTCGATATATAATACAATATAATATCATATGGTCAACACAGTCCGCAGGTAAATCTCATGAGAAACGAACTGAATCTGTCTCAGGTGACGTCAGATCCTCTGGACTCGTGTCACCTGATGACGTCTCGTCTCGTGCTCGTCAGGTGGATCATCCCGGAAGTGCGAAGTACACCTTCAGTAAATAATTTATATTGAATATATAAATGTGTGTGTGAAAGATATATTTAACAATGCTATCTTTAAAATGTATTTTCAAAATAAGTGCAGGTGAAGTTGTATAAATGAACCACCTGTGTCAGTGGGAGGTGACCAGTATTTCTTTATGAGATCTGCAGAGCGCCTCAGGAGCCAGAGGTTTTTATTGAGTAGATTTTACAGGGCGAGAAAGAGTTCTGTAGATTTCTGAGATTCAGATCCGTTTCGAGTTTCTTCAGAAAGATAACGTGAAAATAATGTGTGTGATCTGAAAACCAGCTGGAGGAAGTTCAGCTCTTCATCTTTGAATCAGATGAACTCACCTCTACGCAAATGGTCACTATCAGTAAACTGGTTTCAAGATGCAATTAAATCTTCAGACTTTTCAGTAAACAGACGTCTTTTACAGTTTTTCACCAACAAATAATTCCAGTGAAAGAATTCTAACA